CCTGACCTCAGGTGATCCACCCACCTCAGCCTCCCAAAGTGCTATATTACAGGTGTGAGCCACGTGACCTGGCCCACTCTGAACTTTCTCGAAACTCATATGCCTGCCCCCTGAGTCCTCCTCCTTCCCCACCTACTCTTGTCTGTCTGTCCCCACAGGGCTCACCCTTCAGAGGACAGTGACTTTTACATGAACTACGAGGACATCAACCTGGCCTCCCAGCCTGTCTACTGCAACCTGCAGTCACTGGGCCGGGCCCCAGTCGATGACGAGGAGTACGTGATCCCCGGGCGCTGAGCCCAAGTTGTCCCAGCCTCCACCCAGACCTGCTCCAGTCCTTGCCGGGTGACTCAGGGCATTCCAACTCCTCTCTGGCCTCAGTTTCCCCATCTGAAGAATGAGGACAGGAAAGGACTATCTTTGAGGCCCCAGGGGGGCTCTGCCACTCCCTCCCCATCCCCCACACCACTCCTCAGCCCCCTCGGCTCCTAGAGGAGAAGGAGAGACCCCCAACAAGGGGACAGGAGGGTCACTGCGCAAACCCTGTCGTCACCCTCCTGTGGCTGCGCCGGCCGTGCTCAATAAATGCTTTGAGGTTGGTGAGGCTGCTGGCTCAGGGTGAGTGGGTCCCTCAAGGTGAGGATTTGTGAGCTCCAAGACCAAGTCTCCATCCGAGACTCCCAAATTGCTCCCCACCCCATCCCTCTTTTTTTTTTTTTTTTTTTTTTTTTTCCTGAGACAGAGTCTCACTGTGTCACCCAGGCTGGAGTGCTGTGGTGCAATCTTGGCTCACTGCAACCTCTGCCTCCTGGGTTCAAGTGATTTTCCTGCCTCGGCCTCCCCAAGTAGCTGGGATTACAGCACCCACCACTCTACCTGGCGAATTTTTGTATTTTTAGTAGAGACGGGGTTTCATCATGTTGGCCAGGCTGGCCTTGAACTCCTGACCTCAGACAATCCACCTGCCTCAGTCTCCCAAAATGCTGGGATTGCAGGTGTGAGCTACCATGCCCAGCCTCTTTCTTTCCTTCTTCCTTCCTTTTTTTCTCTTTCTTTCTTTTTCCTTCCTTCTCCTTTTCTTTCTTTCTTTCCTTCCCTCCTTCCTTTCTTGCTGTTCTTTTCTTTCTTCAGTGTGAACCACCATGCCTGGATCTTCCCCTCCCGCCCTTCCTTCCTCCCTCCCTCCCTCCCTCCCACCGTTCCTTACTTTCTTCCTTCCCTTTTCTTTTTTCTTTCTTTTTCTTTTCTTTTTGAGACGGAGTTTTGCTCTTGTCTCCCAGGCTGCAGTGCGGTGGCGCAACCTCAGCTCACCGCCTCCTCCACCTCCCAGGTTCAAGCAATTCTCCTGCCTCAGTGTACCAAGTAGCTGGGATTACAGGCACCTGCCACCACACACAGCTAATTCTTGTATTTTCAGTAAAGACGGAGTTTTGTCATGTTGACCAGGATGGTCTCGAACTCCTGACCTCAAGTGATCTGCCCACCTTGGCCTCCCAAAGTGCTGGGATTACAGGCGTGAGCCACCGCGCCTGGCCCCATTATATATATATATATCTTTAGCTCTAATATTTTGAGAAAGTTCTTTAAGGCCCTGGTGCAATGCCACCTCCTCTGAGAAGCTGTCCGTGGTTTCTTCTCAGGCAGAGTCAATGACTCCCAGACATCATTAACTTCCATCTTACAACTCATGAATCAGGCCTTGCCCCTCCCCTGCTTCCACATCCTCGGTGGCGCCCTATTGTCCCGGACCCTCAGCCTGGTGTTGGGGGCCTTTGTGATCCAGCCCCGCCCACCTCACGGCCCTTTCCTGTCTGCTCCCCTGAGCCTCCTCCGCCCTCCGGAAGCGTTCCTTTTCCTGCACCAGCCCTTTCACCCAGAATGCCACCCGCCTCCACTTTTTCTCACTCTGAAACTTCTTCTTCCAAGACACGGGGTCTCACTCTGTTGCCCAGGCTGGACTGCAGTAGCACTCATGGCTCACTGCAGTCTCCAACTCCTGGGCTGCTCACTCAGCCGAGCTTCAAAACATGGGATGGTTCTTGTGTGTCTTCTCACTGCTGTGCCCAGGGCCTGGCGTAAGGTGGGTATACTCACTGAATATGTTAAGGGGCACCTGCAGTCATTCAGGGTGGCCTCTGGGTGGTGGCATTCCAGCAGATACACCTCACTGCTGGAAGTGGGTACTCTGTCCCCCAAAACACCCATCACCATTCCTCTCAGACTCAGGGTGGACAGGCAGTTTGGTGTGGGGAGGGGGCTGGAGTCAGCACACCTTGGAATTCCAAGATCCTAAACAGGAAGTATATGTAACCTGGGAGATGTGTTGTGTATGAAAATATTCTTCACAACTTATTTGTTTCTCCCTGCTCTTTATATATGAAAGAATGAGGTGTCACTAACATGGAAGTGCCACAAACAGGAGGGGTGATGAACTCATCCCTCAGGTTGGAGACAGTGCTGCAAAACAAGGCACTTGGTGGCAGATAGACTTGGCTGTGAGCTGCCTGTATGGAAAGGTGACTCCCATGTGGCAAGATGTAACAGGATGGTGATAGAGACAGAGACAGATATCTCTGCCTCAGCCCCTAAAAAGGGAAGTTCTGAGGAATGAGGAAAGATGGAGGGATGGAGGGAAGCTGAAGTCAGGTCTCAGCTGTTTCAGAAACAGAAACACCAGCCTGGGCAACATGGCGAAACCCAGTGTCTACAAAAAGTACAGAAATTCCCCGGGCGTGGTGGCCGGTGCCCGTAGTCCCAGCTCCTCAGGTGGCTGAGGTGGGAGGATCGATCGAGCCCGGGAGGTTGAGGCTGCAGTGAGCCGTGATTGTGCCAGCGCACACCCGCCTGGGTAACAGAGTCTAAAAAAAAAAAAGAAAGAAAAGAAAGAAACAGAAGCAGGGAGATGGAGAAATAGAGACAGAGGGTCGGGAATGCCCAAGGCTGCTCTTGGAGCTCACAGGTGTCCTGGCATCCCCGAGAACACCTTCCCACTCATGCCTTGCGCCTTTCCACTCACCCCATCCCAGGTCCGCTGGAGAAACTGAGGCCCGGGAGAGGAGGATCTTCCCAAGGTCACCTTCCCTTATCCTGGACACCACAGGGAACGGTTCAGACAGCTTTATCACCAGAGTTTTAAATAAATACACAGTGCCATCAGACCAGCCCCCCCAGTTCCCAGGAATATCACCCCAATAAATTAATAATAAATAACAGACTTATATAAATACAGCTGTTTGGGCGGGAATCGGGTGTCCCAGGACCCTCGAGCCCATTCCACCGGCCGGGACCACCGAGGCCGCGCCCCCCGCAGCGGCCCGGTGGCGGACCAGGGCTGCTCATGCGCAGTGGCAGTCTTTGGCTAAGAGGTCGTCGTAGGTCTGGAGCGACACCCCGCTGTCCGTCTTCTGCAGGAGCACCATGGGACTGTAGCTGGCGGGCACGCAGCAGGGCGCCGGCACCGCGTCGGGCTTCAGGCGGTGCAGGCTCGTCTTGATCTGCGCGTGCATGTTGGCCGCCCGGAACTGGCTCGGGCACGCGCCGATGCACATGCTCACTTGCACCTCCCGCGGCGACAGCACCCAATCGGCCCAGCCCAGGTCTTCCAGCGACGCGCGGACCGTGTGCAGGCGGCAGCAGCGCCCGGGCCCGAGCGGACAGTGGTCCCCGTCGCGCGCACGCGCTCTGCGGCGCCCCCTGGTGGCGCGCGCCCGCAAGTGCAGCTCCAACTGGGGCCGTGCGGACCGAGACGCTGCCTGCAGCTGGTCCGACGGCGGCGGCGGCGGCGACAGTCGCAGGTGCAGCGCGGGCGCCTGGGGTCTTGCAAGTCTGAGCTGACGCCGCAGCGGGCGCGTCACGTCCCACGACCTTGAAGTCGTCGGGGACAGCCGGAACAGAGCCTGGTGAAGCTGGGAGGCCTCGGGGAGCCCCTCGGGCAGGGCGGCCCGGGGGATGCGCAGGTGCAGGTGGCCGTCAGACCCCAGGCGCACTGTGGGAAGACAGAGGAGCTGGTCACCCACAGGTCGAGCTGGATCCCACCACGGCGCCTTTGCACAAGTTATTTCCCCTACCAAGAGCATTTTTCCCCGCCGGGAGCGGTGGCTCACGCCTGTAATCCCAGCACTTTGGGAGGCCGATGAGGGCGGAGGACTTGAGGTCAGGAGTTCAAAACCAGCCTGGCCAATATGGTGACACCCCGGCTTCTACTAAAAATAGCAAGAAATTAGCCGGGTGTCGTGGCTGGCGCCTGTGATCTCAGCCACTCGGGAAGCTGATGCAGGAGAACCGCATGAACGCGGGCGGCGCAGGTTGCAGTGAGCTGAGATCGCGCCACTGCACCCCAGTCTGGGCAACAGAGGAAGACTCCCTCTCGGGAAAAAAAAGCATTTCTCCTCCTGAATCTCAGCACAGCTGGCTCCTCCTCTCCCTTCCAGCCTGACTAAAATTGGAAGCACCCTGTTTTATCTCGTTGTGAATCATTCATATTCCCTACTTAGACTCAGCTTCTGGTACACAATAGATGCTCAGTAAATACTTGAAGGAATTAATATATATCTGATATTTAGACAGTCTGAGATTCCAGCCATGGACTGCTTTTCTTCTGCCAGTCAAAAGCTCACTTACTTCACTTATTTATTTATTAATTATGGCCTTGCTCTTGCCCAGGCTGGAGTGCAGTGGCATGCTCATGGCTCAGTGCAGCCTCGGTCTCCTGGGTTCAAGTGATCCTCCTGCCTCAGCCTCCTGAATAACTGAGACTACAGGTATGCACTATCACATCCGACTAATTTTTTTAAGCTTTTTTTGTTAGAGATGGGGGTCTCACTATATTGCCCAGGCTGGTCTTAATGTCCTGGCCTCAAGCGATGCTCCCACCTCGGTCTCCCAAAGTGCTGGGATTACACGCGTAATCTCGAGAAATGAAGAGTACCAAGCCCATCCCATTCCAGACTACCAGGCCTCTAAGAATCATAGCCCCTCGGGCTGGTACAAGTGTCAGGGAGACTGGGGTTTAAGGGTGCCCTAAGCTAGGTGCTAGGCCTAGCAAGGGTGAGAGGTTTGCTTGGAGTCACACAGCACAGATGGTTTAGGGCGGGCTAAGAGGGCACCCCTCTACCTGACCCCCTCCTGGGTCCCAGCACAGCCCACACCTCATCCGGTGCCCTGCACCCCTGGAGCCTCTGTGGAAGGTACAGAGATGGGAAAATAGTCTCCTCTCCCTTGACAAGACACTTGATGCACGTGACTTCAGCAGTGCCTTGACAAGCAATTGCATCAGATTCAGAACCGTGCCAACTGGCTCTGCCCATCACAAACCTCTATCCATGCACCACTCCCCCATCCTTTTTCCTGGATTCCTGGACCCAGCCCAGGGCAGGGACCATGCCCACACCCCATACTCCACACCTCACACCCAACCCCGACCCTGAGTTTCCCAGGCACCATGCACCTTCAGGAGGGTCCCCGGCATCCGTGTGCCTCAGTTTCCCCATTTTCAATCTAGGGATGGGTTATAACCTCCCACGTTGTGGGTGCAGATCAGGCATCGGGTACCCCATCAGACCTAAGGGGGTGCAGGATGTTTCTACCCAGGACATGGGGGGGCAACTGAGGTTCAAAGGTGGGTTTGGGCATCTCGAGACAAGGAACCACTGGTTAGATATGCTTGATGCTCGGGGGTAGGAGAGGAGCTCCAAGATTTCGCTTACCTTGTGGCGTGAGTATCCGGACAGCAGGGGCCGGGACGAAGTCTCCGTTCGAATCTTCCCAGCTCTGGTTGGCCCGCAGCCTGGTCAGCAGGTCCTCGTAGCGTTTCCGCAACTCTCGGAATCTGAAGTCTTCGGAGTGCAAGTCTGAGGGTCCCGGGACACTTGCGCGGCTCCTCTCGGCCAGAGACAGGGCGCCCCCATGCGGCGGCCACGAGAGTACCAGCAACACCAGGAGCATCTGAGAGCCAGTCAGTGTCCTGGGTTCTTGCCCGGGCATGGCTGAGCTGGTTGCAGCTCTGAGCTGTGACTGACCAGATGCTGCTGGACCGGCCTTTATAGTCCCCGGACTTTGTCCGCCCCCGCCTGCTCGGTCCCGCCCTCCTGCCCCTGCCTGCAGAGTAAACACTCCATTGACCACAGCTGGGCGGGGTCGGGGGATGTATTTGGCGGGAGGATCTTTGGGTGGGGGTGCTTCTAGCGAAGCTAGGGCACCTCTCTGACCCTCAGTATCCTCTTCCTTGAAATGAGGACACCATTCCAGCCTGGGAGTCTTGTTGAGAAAAAAAGACATTGTTACCATGTGAAAAATTCCAGGCAGGAGTTTAAGAGGGGGCTGTCTATGCCCATGAGATTTCTTCTCTTCTCTTTTTGGTTGGGATCAAAGGCTAAAGATGGTGAAAAACAAAGGGAGCAGAGGAGAAAGGGCTAGATGGAGCCACGAAGGGCAACCTTGACACGTCATTCCTCTTTGCCATGCCTGTTTCCTCACCAGGAAAGCAGGGAGAGAGAATCTCACTGGAGAGGTAGTCAGATGAGGTGTGAAGGCACAGGGCCGGACACATAGGAGGTGCTTGATAAAGTCGGTATTATTGTAGTTACTCATTCTCATCCAGAGAGCTCCTACTTACTCTTCAAGACACTACTCAAAAAGCCCCTCTTCCAGAAAGTCTTCTCTGACATTGCTTTCCAGGCTAAGCAGCCTACAGGCTAAGCTCCCAAACCCCATCCTCCCATCTGGCTCAGAGCTCACCTTGAAGCTATGCTTACAGGATTAATAATTCTGGGAGCCAGGCAATCTCAGCACTTTGGGAGGCCAAGGTGGGTGGATTGCTGGAGCCCAGGAGTTCAAGACAAGTCTGGGCATGATGGCAGTATTTTGTCTCTAAAAAAAAAAAAAAAAGAATTCTGGACAGAAATTTCGTTGTAATTAAGCATTAATTAGGCTGCACTTTGACCCACTTCCTTATGACTGAAAGTTCCTTGTAGCACTTGACACTGATGATTTGCTAGAGATGGGATTTCCGACCTTAGAATCATAAGACTTTTGTTTACGAATTGCTTAAGATGTTTTTGAAATCCCGAATTCCAGCTTAACCACTGGAGCCCACCAGTGTGGAGACCCCACAGAGGAATGGAATCCACATGAGAACACAGTTTCTTCCTGTCTGTGACTTCACCTTCTTCACCCTTTCACCAAGCAATGACCTCCACACTTCTGCTCACTCCAAAACCTTAAAAACTCTAGCCCCGGGCCGGGCGCCGTGGCCCATGACTGTAATCCCAGCACTTTGGGAGGCCGAGGTGGGTGGATCACCTGAGGTCAGGAGTTCAAGACCAGCCTGACCAACACGATGAAACCCTGTATCTACTTAAAAAAAAAAAAAAAAAAAAGCAGAAATTAACCAGTTGTGGTGCCAGCCTGTAGTCCCAGCTACCTGGGAGGCTGAGGCAGGAGAATCACCTGAACTCGGGAGGCAGAGGTTGCAATGAGTTGAGATCGTGCCACTGCACTCCAGCCTGAAACTCCATCTCAAAAAAAAAAAATCTGAGTGAGGTGGCTCACACCTGTAATCCCAGCACTTTGGGAGGCTGAGGCGGGCGGATCACCTGAGATCAAGAGTTGGAACCAGCCTGACCAATATGACGAAACTCTGTCTCTACTAAAAATAGAAAAATTAGCTGGGCGTGGTGGTGCGCACCTGTAGTCCCAGCTACTTGGGAGGCTGAGGCAGGAGAATGGCTTGAACCCAGGAGGCAGAGGTTGCAGTGAGCCGAGATCGCGCCATTGCACTCCAGCCTGGGCAACAGACCGAGTCTTTCCCTAATCTTAGGGTGGCCCTAGAATTAAACCTCTTTCTTTCTTTCTTTTTTTTTTTTTTTTTTTTTGGAACGAGTTTTTTTTTTTTTTCCTGTTTGGAACGCAGTGGCACGATGTCAACTCATTGCAACCCTCGCCTCCCGAGTTCAGGTGATTCTCCTGCCTCAGCCTCCCAAGCAGTTGGGATTACAGGTGTGCGCCACCATGTCTGGCTAATTTTTTGGATTTTTAGTAGAGATGGGGTGTTACCATGTTGGCCAGGCTGGTCTCAAACTCCTGACCTCAAGTAATCCGCCAGCCTCCGCCTTCCAAAGTGCTGGGATTACAGGCATGAGCCACTGAGCCTGGCCTTTTTTTTTTTTTTGAGACAGAGTCTTGCTCTGTCACCCAGGCTGGAGTGCAGTGGCACCATCTCAGCTCACTGCAACCTCCGCCTCCGGGGTTCAATTGATTCTCCTGCCTCAGCCTCCCTAGTAGCTGGGATTATAGGTATGCGCCATCACACTTGGCTAATTTTTGTATTTTTAGTAGAGATGGGGTTTCACCTTGTTAGCCAGGCCGGTCTCGAACTCCTGACCTCAGGTGATCCGCCCGCCTCGGCCTCTTACAGTGCTGGGATTACAGGCGTGAGCCACTGCGCCGGTTAGATTAAACCGTTTTCCATGTTGCAACGCGGTTTCTCAGCTGCTGACATACCGAGTGCATGGAGCAACAGACCTGTCATAGCTGCAACCCACCGCACTGGAAGTGTCTGTACCCAGCTCTGCCGACCCAAGACCGGCGGTTCCTCTGGGCAGGGATGAATTTGCCCTTGTCTGGCCCAGAGAGGA